GGCGGCCTGAGGGGGAGGGCGAACGGAGCCCCGGGAGGAAATCACCAACGGCTCGGAGGCGGGCGGCGCGGCTTCGCGGGGCTCCGCACATCCTCCGCCAGCCAGCGCCTGTGGCCGGCGGGGCGGGGAGGGCCGCGGGGCCCGGGGAGGGGTGGGGGAGCCGCGGGGGTGGGCCTGGGGGAGGGGGGGGCGCATCGCGTGCGAAGGAGGCTTCCCTCTCCGCTCCGCGGAGGTGCCTTCTCGGCCCGCTGTACTGCGCTCGGCCCGGATGTGTTAGGAGGGCTGGCAAGGTGCACGGCGTCGCTGGTGACGGAGGAGGGTCCAGGAGGAATGAGCAAGGCGCGAGCCGGGACAAACACCCGGAGGTTGGGAAACTGCGGAGTGAGGCAGTGGAGGATGGAGAGCCAAGAGGAGTGTCCGCGCAGGGCCGCGGGGAGGAGGGTCCGCGGGAGCCGGCGAGGCCTTGAGGCCCCCGAGTGCTGACCTTGAAGGACCGTCGCGAGCACCGCGGAGGATCTGCAGATGCGGGGCGGGCTGGACGCCGAGCTGGGGGCCGAGCGGCTGCGCTGCGGGTCCCCCGCTCACTTCAGCTGCAGACACGTTGTTTTTTTGGCCAGTACGGTGTTTGGGGAAACTTCTTGAATATGTTGCCAGAAGTTTTTAATTGGGACATTTTCATATCGAATCAATCTTTCTTTTCTTTTTCTTCCTTTCTCTCTTTCTTTCTCTTCCTTTCATTTTCTTTCTCTCTTTCACTCTTTTTCTTTTTTCTCTTCCTTTCTCTTTTTTTCTATCTCTTCCTTTCTTTTTCTTTTCCTTTCTCTTTTTTTCTTCCGTCCTCTCTTTTTTCCTTTCTTTCTTTCTCTTCCTTTCTCTCTCTTTTTCTCCTTTTTCTTCCTTTTTCTTTCCCTCCCTCCCTCCCTTCCTTCCCTCCTTCTTCCCTCCCCAGTCTCTCCCCTCTTTTTCTTCTTTCCATTTCTGTGTATATTTCTATTTCTTAAAAAAAATTTTTTTAAACATTTATTCATTTTTGAGAGTGAGAGAGACAGAGCTTGAGTAGGGGAGGGGCAGAGAGAGAGGGAGACACAGAATCTGAAGCAGGCTCCAGGCTCTGAGCTGTCAGCACAGAGCCCAACACGGGGCTCGAGCTCATGGGGCTCGAACTCATGGACCGTGAGATCACGACCTGAGCTGAAATTGGACGCTTAACCAACTGAGCCACTCAGGTGCCCCTCTGTGTCTGTCTGTGTCTATGTCAATTTAAAATTAGGAGACCTGGTAGCAGTTATCCTGAATCCCCATATGACATCTATCGGCTGGAGCTGGGTGGTGGTTGCCCCTCAACTGGGGCACAAATTCTCGAGTTGGTCAGGTTCACACCACACCCTGTCATGAGCTCCCACACCAAAGCTGGGTGTCATTTGCCACTTACCATATTTTTTATGGTGTTTTCTTTTAGTGAGGCGAAAGGGAAATGAAATATTCCTTATACTTACATTTTTATGCTAAGAAAAATATACAAAGAGAGAAAGAAGGCCGAGGGTTTCAATAATTTTTTTTCTCATGCCCTGGCCAGCTTCCCTCGTTTATTATCTGCCTGGTTTCCACAGGCGTATACATGTGTGACCTTGGTTAGACTCAGGAGTGAGCATGATGAACTCAGAGCCCTTGGAGAATGGTTGGGTGAAAGCTGAGGTTTACTGCTGGGATGTGTGTGTTACGTGTTGTTTAGATACATAAAGTATGTGCACAAATACATGCCCTCTGCATGTCTGTAGAGCTAGAGTTGGTGCAGTCTCTCACCCAGTTCATGAATCCTCTTTAAAGCACTCCTGATAGGGGTGCCTGGCTGGCTCAGTTGGAGCCTGCGACTCTTGAACTCAAGGTTGTTAGTTCCGGCCTCACATTGGGTGTAAAGATTACGTTAAAAAAATAAAAATAATAAAAATAAAGGGTTCCTGATAGATGAAGCCATGAGTAATGTATAGACTCTTTTTTTAATGTATTTACTTACATATTCATGTATTTATGTGTTTATTTACATATTTACAAGTTTATGTATTTATTTTGAGAGAGAATGTGCGTGCACGAGCAGGGGAGAGGCAGAGACAGAGACACACAGAGAGAGAGAGAGAGAGAGAGAGAGAGAGAGAGAATCCCAAGCAGGCTCCTTGCTGTCATCCCAGACCAGACCATGAGATCATGACCTGAGCTGAAACCAGGAGTCGGATAGTCAACCAACCGAGCCACCAAGGCATCCCTGTATAGACTTTTTAAGGCAAATTTTTTTTCACAGACCCTCCATGTTCATTTAAATGAGTTTGGTTATGTTACTTAAAAATAATTCAAACATAAACTTATACGTAAAGTCCTTTGATTATAGTTGTGGTTCAATCATAACTAAAAGATGTGCACAGAACAAATTCACTCAGCGTTAAAAATGCAGTAAATTCGAATTAACATCATTAATTTGATACGATAAATGCTAATTTGCCAAACTCAGTTGAAGCTCTCAGTATGAATATGATGCTAACCCCTAATAATTCAGATTTTCTTGGGTTAAACGAGGCTGGTCAGGTGTGCTCCATGGGACAGCTCAGTTCACCCACTACTTTCCTCTGTTCTGATCACTACAAAATTATGATGTCACTTTTCCCTTTACCTGGGACAGTACATCATGTACATGTTAGTTCCTCCTGTGTTCTTTCTCTGCTATCAGTTCACATAAAGTAATACTACTTGGGTTCACCGTGTTTATTTTTTTTGTATATGTTAAAAAAAAATTTATGAGTAATCTCTATGCCAACCTGGGGCTTGAACTCACAACCCTGAGATCAAGAGTTGCCTGCTGTACAGACTGAGCCAGCCAGCCGTCCCAGGTCCAATGTGTTTATAACACAAAGGCAAATGATAACACTGGATTTGCTAGGGGATATTTGCTTATTTAAAAATTTTAAGGATTATTTTCATAATGAAATTCACAAAACTGAACACTTCTCATAGGGAACTCTTAGATTCCCGAAGTATATGTCTATAAACCTTCAAGGGTCCAAAGATCCCAGATGGAGAAGAATCCGTCTAGTTCATTATCGGTCACTGGATGACAGATGTACTGACTTTCCCATGGCATGGCATTTCCCATTTTTCCATCAGCCCATGGCAGAATGGATAATCAATGTAGGTACTCTTTCCTCTCTGAGCCTGGGCTGCTCTTCAAGGCATTCTCTGCACAATCAGAGCCAGTCCTTCAGAGTTGGAGTTAAGTCTTACTTGCCTCGTCGGCGGGATAGACTAGATTATGGAGTATTTTTCACTCTAGCTGTAGGGGCTCGGCCTTACTAGGAAGCAATGGGAATATTTGGAGAAGAGAATGCTATGGGAGGGTTGCTTTAGTCGCAGCCCTTGGGATGGTAGGAAGGATTCACACGTGGATCCTGGTATGCCTGGAAAGAGACCGTTCCTTTTTTCATTCATTCGTCAGTACTGGAGTACCCGCCGTGGTTGATGGGGTGGGGGGTGGAGGCTAAGACTTGGCGCCTTGCTTCAAAGGTCTTATTAATTTGTTCATCAGATGCTTACCGTATCCCTGGTGTGTGCCATAGATGAGGATGGACGCAGGGCATATCATGGCCAGCAAGCAAAACGCAGTCTCCTCATGGATTTTAGGGTTTAATGGAGAAGATATTCCTGTGACAAGTCAGGACACGTTTTGATGAATATGGCAGAAAGGGAAGCAGATGTAGTTGTGGGAATGGATGGACGGAGTCCTCACCGCTTCTAGTGGCCTAAAGGATTAGTGGGGTTGGGGTAGCCATTTGAGGGTATGTGCTTGTGTGTTGAGGGAGAGAGAATGTTTCAGGTCTAGGGAACAGAGGCCCAGCGAGGGGACAAAGATGGTGATCTGAGCTGAGGCATTCACAGGGATCAGATGGTAGAGACAGGACATGAGACTTGATCCTAAGGACAATGGCGAGTCAAGGAAGGGGTTGACGTAGGGGCGATTTGCGATGCCTCTAGCTCCAGGATCGTGGATAGAACAGCGGAGAAGGTGGCAGAGAAAGCATTTGGAGGTCATGATAGTCCAGGAGATGTGATGATGGCCTTGACACTAGGGGGGAGCAAGAGGAAGGCAGAGAGGTGAACAGATTGATACTTTATAGGAGCTAGAAATGACCAGATTTGGCAAATGGACGATCCCCAGCTTTCAGACTTGAGCCATTTCCGGGTATCCTCTAGAAAGGGGGGCAGCACTGGTGGGAGCAGACGCTTCACTGTCAGGAGATGGTGAGCGTGAGGTGCCTGTGAAGCACGTAAGTAGAGATGGCCCCGCAGGCCGTTGTTTACATGGTCCTGAAGCCACATGAGGATCTCCGAATAAGGGGGGGGAAGTCTGGACCAGTGACAGAAGTATGGGGACCTTTGGTGTGTAGTCGTAGGAGTAGATTCAGCCACCTGGGAAGAATTTCAAGAACACGTCTTGCAAATTGGTGAACTAAACTCTAATTTGACCCTTGCAAGGGTAGAAAGGTGTACGTGTGCCC